CATTTTATTATGCTTTTAAATGCGACAAGATTTTTTTCTGGATCTCTGATATAAAAACCGTGCTCCAAAATAACAGTTTCCATTTCTGGTAGCAAATTCTGAAATGGTTCAACATATTTCATCTTCATTTTTCTTTTCATACTTCGAAAGTAATGAAGTATCTTTTCCAAATTTCACGACTTGTTGGGCTAAACATAAAGCAGTAGGAAGAAAGCTACAGTAGAAGATCACAAGTGTTGACAGATTCTCCACTCATATTATTTAAGGCATGCCCTGGAATCGTTCGTATTATTCTTATTGTCATGAGATGGTCGAGGATTTGAAATGGTAAATTGTCCTTTTTTTCGACCTATTGACTCAAGAATTTGGAATTTTATAAATTTTTTATAATGAAAGTTTAGGGTAGTATGCTTTTGACTTGAGAGGGGTTTTACAAAAGAGTCGATCAATAATTTGCATATTTCCATAGTCTATTCCACATATCTCTTGCAAGAATAGCTATATAAATTATATATAAAAACCATTTCCGTACCACATTAGCTTATTTTAATTGTTTATGATTTGGATCAGCAAAATGAGTAATCATCAAGCATCATTAGTTTATTAAAAATTAATTACTGAGTAAGGTTATATAGTAGAGGATAAATAACTCCGACAGCATTTTAGTGTTCATAGAACTGAGAGTTCGTAAAAGTCTATTTAATCTTAAAATATAAAAATTTGTGCAAAACTAACAGATACTTTTGTACTGTTTTAGGAATTGAAGTGAAATGTTAGAGAGCTTAAATTTAAACAAATCCATCAATAAATTCACAAGCAGAACTAATTCAAATGCGATGAGGACCATAATTTCTCGTCCATCCTATCAACATCATTTTGCCTCATTTTACGTCTGAGCATGGTTTTTTAATGTGATCTGTCTTGTTATATATTTTGCCGAGTGAATTATATCCAATTTATTAGCATACATTCATCATCACTGCAAGATAATCACTGGATAGCTTGAGAGTACAGTAGGAATTCCCGATGATCTCGATAATAGCAAGCGCACTTAAATACAAATAGATATTAATTTTATTTATCGATATTTCAAAAAATTAAAGTTACTTCAATTTACACGGAATTGATTTTTATGAAATTTTTCGCCTAAGTTGAACGAAAAAGGAATCTTAATGAGATCAACAGTTGATATGGAGTAGGAAATAGTAAGGAAAAAACGTAGCACGCTTTTATGTTAACCAAATCGTTTATGTTTTCATTAGGGGGTCAATAATGGTACTAATTAATACGATCAATCAGTCTTCTTCGCATTCTTTTTATAATGGAAGTGATAAATATGATTAATGAAATAATAAATTTGACGAATCTTCGAATTGTTTCGATAATTAAAAATTTGTTTACGATTTACCTTGATAGTTATGGAATCGTGCATATTTTCTCTTTCAATTTCAAATTCCTTCCGATATTTCAGAATAGCAGCAAAATAAACTTGAAATTTTGCAAGATTTGAGTGCATTCTTAATCAGATATAAATAAATCATTACTCAAATATTCAGATTTTCGTGTATTAAACTTCATGCTTCGTTTCGAACTAACTATTTCTCTTTTAGTGCTTTATTGCATCATCCCTCAACAATATTTGCTTTGAATGCTATTTAGAAAGCTCTTTGCAATATTTTTTTTAAACATAGTAATCATATTGAATGAAAATATCCATTTAATTATCATGATTACTTGTTCTCTTTTAATTTCAAAGATTGCTGCTGTTGGGACGACACTGTAAATGAACTAACTATTCTCAATGTATCATTTAAGAAACGTTACATTTTTTTCGATTAGTCATCAATGTCCTTTCTTCTCAGTTTTATTTTCTAAACTCATTTTTCATAAGATTACAACAAATTATCGTTTAAATTTTCTCGAACAATCTGTTGCATGAAACAAACGGATAAAATGAGTATTGCTATCATCTTTTAGGAAATTTAACTTTCGTAAGGTATTAATTGCTAATTATCATTGCGTAATTTTTTGCTTTTTCCTAGAACAATACACGTGGATGTGAACAAATAAAAAAATGAGCCATTATCTTGGAACTTTCGATCAACTGTAAATGATCAGCAATTAATGATTTCATCTTTCTTTTATGAATTAATTATCTAATCATATATATTCTGATTAGCTGTTGAACATTTTTTGAAAATATTAGCTGAGAAAATTTCAATTTATGCAAACCGTAAATTACAGTCAAACATCAAGTAACAACAAAAGACTGATTATTTTGATGCGAAATATGAATCAAAATAATAATCAAAGCAAATCGGATCAAATGGATTGAAATAGATTATATAACTCTGTCCTATTAACTTCGAATTTCAAAGTGCATGAAAGAATGATGAATAATCAACACGGTAAAGTGAATCATTCGTTGTGTATTTGGAAGATCTTCTCTAATTAGAAGGATGTGCCAAGTGGAAGATTTCATTCTCATTCATCTTCGCCGTATTATCTTTAATTCCTCATTTTCCCATCTTTCGTTTTTATTTTTTTTGGTGTGCTGACAGTTTTAAAAAAAAAATTCTAAGAACATTTAAAGAAAGAATACGTATTCGAACATTCAGTGTCAGCTGTTTTATGTGGACGTGGAACTTCAGTCAGTAAAATTTTTTAGAAAAGAATCCGGTTTCCGAAGCAGCTCCATTACAGTACTCAACTGTATATGTCTGACCATCTCCGGCGGTCCCACATTTTATTCCAACAGAGAATGATGATGGTGATGATAGTGGAGAAGATGACGGAAGAGAAAAAAGTAAGAAAAAAATGACAATCATGCTGAGTCATCATATTTCATTTCTTCTTCCAATAATGATGAATGATAGGAACAAATGATATGTACTGATAAGCGGACTGATTGATACGTGTTGGAGCTTTTTGCATCTCCACATGGTTTTTTCATCTACACCCAAACAATTTTATATGCATCTTATCTACTCATCGAGAAACAACAAAAAAAAATTGAGCCATTGCAAGCTTGTCTAAGTTGCATTTTATGCAAATGAAATTTGATTTATTTAAAGCGCCAGGCGCTTTGTGAAAGAAAATACTTTCAGTATGAAGAAGAAAGCATAAGAATTTTAATCGCAGACTATAGAGTAATATACCTATTTTAGAACCACTTCTTTTCTATTACCATTCTTACGTGGCGGGCATCCATGTCACGTACGAAGAGAAATAATATTTTAAGGTCAATTAAATGCTTCTGAATGAAATAACAAAATGAGCTATTACACTATCGAACGTTGCAGTATCAATTTAGACATTATTCACACAAATATTTCCGGTCTTTGCTGTGAAAAATGGAGATTTCATGAATAGTTTTCTTCTCTTTAACAATTCTTTTTATTCAAACATACTTCATGCTAATGTTATTCCGTCCAGATTCTTGGTCAGTTTCATTTCTTCATCACGTCATTCTCATCGATATCGTCGATTACTTGCACTTCAATAGCGATTTAAATTCTTTTCAATTGTAAAATTGTATTGGGTAACGGAAACAAATGAAAGGGTGAAACAGACAAATGAAAATAAATCAAAACTCCTCCACGTGACTCACATTGCGACGTCAATGCATTCCAAAAATTGTTTAAACTAAAATAAAGTTTTCAACTAGAGTTTTTTTGCTGCTCGATGATTCTTACGAAGTCAAGAATGCAATGTTTTTTCAGTCTACCCGTAGAATTCTCTCACGAATAAATGAAGTTAGGAAGCATATATAAAGGTTTTATGTGAGTGCCGCAACAGAAGTGAGTTTACTACTAAAACTAAACTTCTGAAATTACGTTTTTTTTTTCTTCATAATGATTAAATTGAGTCTGTCAGAAAAAAGTATTGGATAAAAACTATCTAAATTTTGAGTAGGTTGAATATTAAATGATAAAGTTAATATTTATTGATGAAATTTTGCACTTGTGAAAGCTATAAAAAGTTTCTTTTTAAAGGAAAGTTTGTTATATTTAATCAAGAAAGTCAATTTTAAAGAGCCATTCGATTCTAATATAGGCCCTTTGAAAGTTTAGAGATATCATTTTAACTTATAAAAATGAAATTTAACTTATAAAAATTTCTGATTTTAAAATCTTTTGAAATCTAAACATATTTTGATTGCTAGTGATATTTTGATTCTATTTGATGAATTTAAACAGTGACAGGAAATGAAATGATGAAATAAGAGGTGTTTCAGTCGAACAGCATATGCCACTCCTAAAAGAAATTTCTGTCTTTTAGAAGTGGTATATGCTGCTCAACTGGAAATTCACAAATTTCATATACTCTCTAATTTGAAATTTGAAGTTTAGAAGAGAGTTTTTCTTCGAAATGTTCCACGGTATATATTAATTAAGTTTGATAGGTGACATGAACTTTGTAAATTTGTTTTCCATGTTCCAGTCATGTCCACCATTAATAATTTACTCCCCATCATAGAACCATCCATCCCTTATGCTCCTATGAATGACCACTCCTCCTTATTCTTTATGCTGTTTCTACAAATGACCACTCCTCTTCATCTTTTCCGCTTCTATGAATAATCGTTCCTCTTCATCACAAAACCATCCCTTCCGCATCTATGAATGATCACTCCTCTTCATCTCCGTACTATCTCGTTCTTTCTATTACAACATGCCACATATAGTTATCTTCATTTCTATTTTCTTGATTATTTAATTTTCAATGTTGAAATCATAATAGTTCTCATGCTTTCAATATTCAATATTCTTGGATAATTTTATTGCATGTTTCAAAAGTATACGCAAGTAAACACCATAAAAGTAACTTTCGTCTTTCTATGTTACCACTTTGTAACACTTTTGCGTATTTTAATGAATTATAATATTCATGCAATTTCAACTCCACAGAATGAAATCTTTTTAGACAAAGGCAATTTGCATTTTATTAACTAAAATTCTGCAGAAACTAAAGCTTTGAAAATCAGCAGTGGCAATCCAATGAGGGATATGTTGGGACGACCGCTATTCAAATTCTTCCGTTCCTCGACAGCGACCACTGCGCCGCCATCCTCATCCACCGAATACCGGCAGTTAAAAGAGGAGGAAGACGATGGAAGACAGAAGCACAGCACTCGCAGTACATCTGACCCCATATGCATACCTAAAATCAGGTATATCTCAACTATTCACGTACTTATCTCTTTCAAAATACTATGAACAACGAGATGCCGAGAACATATGAAATTATAAGACTTTAGAAATGAAATTTCAAGCTTTTCATTACAATCATTAAACTTATCTGCTCTCAAAAGAAAAATTTTTAGCTATAATTATGCTTGTTAGATGGAAAAAATTTTTAGGAAAGAACGTAGTTCAAGTGATAATGCCATCTGTGATCATGAATACATGCTGGTGGATATCAATCAAAGGTTATGTAAGGTATAATTTAATTTCAATTTTTTATTATCATGTCTAACATTCTTTTTCTGATATGCTCTAACTAGATTTACAATATTTCCCTTCTTTAGAGCGCTGATATGGAAAAGCATTTACACGATGCAAATATGGATCAGTTGGATCGAATTCCGGTTGATTTTTCTGCCCCGTCAGGTCCAACAATTATAACTGATCCGGATGAAGTTGAGTGAGTTATTGCAAATAAATTTTTAAATTTAGCAATGTTTTTGTTTTGATCATGAAAAAATTACAAGAATAAATGCCGCATGGAAAACGAGTAATTTATTAATGAATCAAACAATCTAACATTTTATAAGACATTCATTTTCTATTTCAAACTTCAATTTGAAATACTGGAAATATTCAGAAAGTTATGTACTGTTCGTGTCCAAATTCTTTGTAAAAAAGGAACAGTCTTATGCTAAGATTATTCATTTTCAACTATCTTATGCTAACGTAAAAGCGGTACTTCCTATCCATTTTTACAGCGAAAAAATATTTATATTCAATTTTCCTTGTATTAAACCTAAACTTTGCATAAGATCACAAGGATGATATGTGTAGCGTGAAAAGGAAAAGGGACACGTGAATTGAAAGTGACTCTGATAGTTCATCATAGATCAGCAGACTTATATGAACCCGTTGGTATGCTAATGAGATATTTAACAGTAACATTTCATTATTTAAGAGAGATACTGATGTGCGGTGAATCTCGGGCCGTTTATGAGAATCATTCCAAAATTTACGGTCTTGCGTCGTACTCGATGTATCGTGCCGAGCGTTGGTTTCATCACAATGCTGATAAAAGTAAAGTTGAGAGAATGTTGTTAAGGACGGGAGGAGAAGATGGGTAAGCAAATATCTACATTCTTTTAATATTTCTCTCTAATCACTTTTACTTTTCTGATAACATGCTTGACCGATTCTTGAGATGGTTCATGTTTTGTAGAAGGTCACATTCTAAGTGGAAGAATTCAAAACTTTTCTTGGTAGTGTTAAGCTAAAGAATCATAATTTATCTTAAAAAATACAATAAGAATTCCATTTTTTCTTTGAATAATTTCAGTTCATTTTTGGTGCGAGTTAATGAGCGGAATTGTCTAATACTTACAATGTGCCATCATCAGAAGATTTACAACATTTGTATCAGTGTTGTGAGTGTTTCATTATTATTTCATCTTCAGAAAAGGAATTACTGTGTCATCAAAAAGACCCATTGTCTTTAATGGCTGGATACTTCTAATTGGATAGCATAATTTCAGCTTATTACTTCCAAAAAAAAATCTCATTTGTTTTTTAACAATTTATATTTTGAATATAGAATTTCGCAATGCCAGTGATAAGACGATAAACAGATAAATGTGGTTCTCTTGCAGAAAGTTGAAGGACATAAAACAAAATTTTTCATTGAAATACAACATCAATTTTCCAACCTGATAGATTTGATTAAATATTACGCCGAGCACCAAGGACTCTTGCTACCATGTAAACTCACCAGAGGTGTGGCGCTTCGATGGCCTGATTCCACAAAGTGAGTGCCTCGCAGATTATGCTCAAAATTGAGAAATAGGAAATATATATATATTTACCCGAGATAAAATTTATTCGAAATATATATATTTACTCGAAAAGAAAAATATCCTGGGATAAATACTGATTTGCAAGATTTCTCTAAGCTGATTTTATTATGAAGATTAGAACGACTAGAAATGGACTTAAAGCTCGCTATGATTGTAATTTAAGGATGACATTTTTGTCTTTTTAATTCATATCTCTCATAAATCTTTTAAAAGCTCTCGAACTTTCAAATCTTTTTGAGACATTGTATAAAGTCGTGAAATTGTTTTTCACGTTACTTGATGACCTCCGTTCTGTAATTACAGGAGAGGTGCAACAAATCGGTTATTTGTTGAGGAAGATTATTAATTCACCAGAAATGGACCAATCGAAAGTGTTATATCAGAAGAATATAATCATCGAATGTCCGTAAATTCCTAAACAAAATAAACGTGTTTTTCAACACAATAAAAAAGACTGAAAAATTGACTTTCTGTTCTTAAATCAAAAAGAATGAAAGTAAGATACAATCAAATATGTCATGCAAAATTCATGGAATCATCGAAAAAATCAAATTTTCCAGACTAACTTATTTAAACATCAAATATACCTAAAAACCGTTCTAAATATACATCAGAACAAGAAACCATCCATAATTATTACGATTTATAAAACGAAATTTTTTCTTACTCGTTAATTGAGTAAAAGTTTGAATTATTTATGTGCAACTTTTTTTAACTCTCTAGATAAAGTTAAAGAATTTTTTCCAAAATTAAAAATATTATCTTATCAAAAAATTCTGAAAATTCCAAAAAAAAAACAAATCCCGAATGATTCATACTCTCTCGTGTTAAATTATCACAAGAAATATCAAGCTATCTCATTTATCAAAGCAATTTATATATATTGATGATTTCGCAAAATTTTATGACAAAACATTTACATATTACCGCTGCATCGATTACTGTGGAAAAAAGTAATCAGAGAATGGCAATATTAGATTACCCGATCGGGTAGAACAATGCCTGACAAGAGCTTCTTGGCTTGATCGGAATTTCTAATCCTAATTCTTCTATGAGATATCAAAATGTTATGAAAACTATTTATTAATAAATAAAGTTCATTATGCTGAAGCATTATTCAAATTAAGTTCATTATATGTGGAATTTTTCTCTCTAACATGAAAATTTATAGTAAGAAAATTACTTTCGCATTTATTGAAAGTATAGAAAGATGAAATTGCTCTTCGCATGACATATTGTTTGTGAAATGAGTAATGGCTGATCATTTTTGTGTTTAAACAAATGAAATTTTAAGCAGAAAGAGAGAGAGGGAGGGAGAGAGAAAGGAAGGGAGAGAGAAAGAGAGAGAGAGATGAAGAGGTTCGAAGATGAAAATAACGATTAGAAAAATCTTCTTAACAAATATATTATATATATAGTAAGTCAATCATTTGGGCTGATAATTGGAAAAAACGAGGAAAAGGATTTTTATTTATTTTTTTTACTTCGAAAGTTATTTCAACTGTATTCTCATTGCGATCTAATTTTATGCTTGAATAGATTGAATGTTAAATGATCAAATGCATCTTTCACTTACGATTACAATATTATTCTCATTTGTTACAGGTATATATTAAATGTTTTCAATTAAAGTTTTACACGATCTTAAATAACTGTTCCTTCCTTTTTACTGACTGTTTAATACGAAATTTAGCGATGCATTTTAATGGAAACCAACAAAATGTGATTTCATGGTGTGCAGAAATATGAAATTGGTTTAAGATTTGCTGAATAAGTTTGCTACAATTTTTTCAGATTGCAAAGAATTGCTTTGTTATTTGTGTAATTCACAATTTGGTCCGTGTGATGGGAACAGTTGCAGCATCGTTTCAAATGGTTTCTGTGCTTATCGTATGTTTTTTGGTTTTTCTATACAGCTTTAAATTAATTTCGCAATAGAATATACAATTTCGAGGATAATTGTGCAGCATTTATTGGAAAAAGAAATGATTGCAATTTAAAAACTTTGATTTTAACGAAGTAATAATAAAATTTCAAATTATGAATGTATTTTTAAGAGCAAATAATTGATGGTGATAATGGTAATATTGTGAAAACAGTACGATCATGCTTGGATATGAATAATATTGCCTCAGCTGCGATTTTTCACGTAATAAAAGCTGGAGAGTGTATTGAAACGTAATAACTTCATTATGAATTCTTCATTAAAAGATGAAGTGATACGATACGGGCAATACTTAATCGTTTGCATTCGTAATAATCTGAGTGTAATTCAAATTTTGAAGTTGAGATAAAGTTGCTAATAAGCTAACTGACACTATTCCAAGCATGAATTTATCAAACCTCATTTTTTGCTAACCCTCTTATTTCTCATTTCAATATTGTTTCTTTAATAATAAAAACAGTAACTGAAATCGTTTCTTAAAATTACGGAAATAAAAAGAAAAGGTCAAAAATATTTTTTTAAGGACCAAAAAATTTTCAGATATATTTTGTAATATCAATAAGAATAAATGTATATTTCATTACAGTACCATCATGATTGAAATGCTTTAGGATTGATCCAAACAGTAGCATAAAATATCGAACTTACTTATGCAACAGCCATAATTACTGTAACTCGGATTGCCATGCACAAATGCCAATGTTCACAGTTAATTCAATTACATGTGAGCATATTTGGAATTTTTTTTTTTTGGATTTTTCATCTCGAATTGAAGATGGTGTAAGGTTGAAATTTTTACAATAAGTGAACTTTGTATGTTGCAGATAACGTATGCTCGCACAAAACAAGAAATCATTTAAAATTTAACACTAACAAGATGTGAAAATAAAATTTAATAAAATGAAATTTGATTATCTGAAATTGGAGATTTCAGCAATCCGTACAAACACACTAGAGTGCTTTAGATGCAATGATTTTGAAACGGACTGCTATAGCAATATGTGTATTACTAGCAGTAGCGGCTACTGCTTCTTCCGTAAGCTTTTAGGATGAAATTTTGACTTTAAATTTAATTATTGTTTGTAAGATATATTCTATCTAAGTTACTGATAACAAAATGCCTCTCTTCAATTTTTATATAATTTAAAATGAAATTCAATAACTATTCATTATACACATGACAATTGATTGTATTGACAATTGGCTTAATTAAGTGAGACCAAACTGATCTAAAAATGATTAAACTTTAATAAAAATGATCAAAAATAGTGAGTTCCAAAGTAATCTATGTATTATAATATTTCCTTATGAATTATAATACTTCAACGAAAATTACAGAATTATTGAACATTTCGGAGAACGGAGTTCGTAGTTTGCATTACAGTAAGCAATGTACTGAAATTCCTTTTGCTAAAACACCGGATGGCTATAGTATCACCGAAATTAATAAATGTATTGTCAGGTAAACTTATTAAAATCTAATAATTCGAAAAATTATCAAAACAGTTATTTGAATGGCAATTAATTTGTTTAAAATATATGCAGAAATATCGGAAATATTTGATGAAGCAATTAAAAAAATCACAAGCAATGAAGATAATATAAAATTAATATTCTCTGAAACTCTAATCTAAATGATAATATAGTAAATAGATTAATAAATTGATTAATTCATTTGATTTTTAGCATCGATTTGCATGGAAATCATTTTTACACATTAATTTGTAACGAAGCTAATTTTTGTAACGCTAATTGCAATTGGCTTCCATCTGTTTCACCAATACCTGTAGTACCGCATACGTCTTCTTCGGGATATGTCAGTAAAGTGATGCTTTTCCATTGCTTCCTGGCAATCTTCATAAATGATTACGTAAGATGATAATAATTAGAAAATGTAATTATCTTATTATGTGGTATTAAAATCAGAATTCGTTATAGTATTATTAATTGTGCTTATTAATTGTTAATTATTAAATTAAAAAGGAACTGCTGAAACATATGAAATAATAAATAATTTATATATTGCAACAGAATGAATGTTACCTGCTTTATACGTCACTTTCTGGGATAACACAACTGAAGTCATTGCCGAATTTGAATATCTAAAGTGATAATGAAAATGTTAACAGTGTGATAAAAGTTGTCCGAAACAGTAACAACACTGATATCATGGACCAGCTAAATGATATCAACAATACTACCAATGGAGCTAATAATGATGATGCGAATATTAGAAAGCATCCTTCTATTTTAGTTAATGAGAGAAGAAAGATTTAATGGGAATGTCGCGGTGCAACTTATTTGCCCGAAATGAGGCCACGGCTAATAGTACCCGCGGACGGGGTGGGAGAATTGTGGTGAGACAAGAAGTTATAAAAAATTCTTCCCCATCGACCCAATTCTAAGCCTGTTTCAATGTTTGCTATATAAAGCATCTCTTTGCAGAACCTCCTCATAGCAACCTCAAAGAACAGAAGACCTCTTCTGGAAGCATATTCAGTAAGTCTCTCTATTGCTGCCCCTTCTTTCGATGATCAATCACCGAATGGAATCATCATAAAACGTGTTGCAGATATGATATCAGTACGATTTGCTTCAACATTACTGTTAGCTGTGTTGGCAGTGTCGGTGACAGCGTCTGGCTGGTGGGACGATGACTGGGATGAGCCATGGCATCATCATCATCACCATCATGGACACTTCCCGTGGCACCACGGATATTTCCATCATCATCATCATCATCATCCACATCATGGCGGTCATCATTCA